GGCTGCCAATATATAGGTAGTTACTATATTTTCCAAATATTGCTTGTCATACATAATATAGATAGTAAGAAGTTATAGAAACTTCCAATTGTCTGTAAATTTAATATTAGATACTAATCGGAGCGGTGTTAGCTCAGAAGAGCCGTGGTAGCTTAGATAGTTAGCGCTCGGGTTCGATTCCCGCCGGCACCAATGACATTGTTAATTGCGATTTTAATTGCTGATTTACCACGTGCTTGGCGATGAAAGTAAACATTTTGAGGAAACCTGCATGTCTGAGAAATAATAAAATAGAAATATAAAAAAATAGTACCCGGTTGATCGAGCTTTGCTCGATATTTTTCGCTGGGTTTTTTTTTAATTCGTGTGTTTTGGAAATTATATTTAGATACAAATTACATACTGATGAAATACGAATAATATTTTTTAATCGTAGCGACATAATAGAAATAACTGAACTGGTTATTTGAATAAAAAATCATGAGTGCAATTAGTTTAATTTAAATTTTCGTGTTTTTAAAAAATACTAAAAAAAAGGGCACGAAAAAATAGATTTTCTCAAAAAAAGAAAGGAACTTGAAAAAAAAATTAAAAAAAGTCGGTCGGTCGGTCTGGGCTCGAACCGTGGTATTACGGTTTTGTGACCGCCCAATATACCAATTAAGCTATTTGTAATCCTATACCTTTAAACGAGCAATTCTTGTATGTATTATATGCAAATCTCGGAAACGGCTCCAACGATTTTCATAAAATTTAGTATCCAGGGAGTTTCGGGGGCAATAAATCGATCTAGCTAGGATTCATTTTTAGAAAATGTCGTTTTGTCCGTGTTTTTAGCCAATGAAAAACTGCTATAATATAAGAAGGTAAATTTTGACAGTGGATCGTAATAGCTCATGTGGGATATCCGGCGATTGCGACGTCGAGGTGCCCTGGTTCGAGTCGTCTTTGGTCCGACTTTTTTCCTTTTTTTTCAAGTTCCCTTCTTTTTGTGAGAAAATATTTTATTTTGAGCCCTTTTTTTAGTATTTTTTTAAAAACACGAAAATTTTAATCAAACTATTGTACTCATGATTTTTTATTGAAATAACCAGTTCAGTTTTTTCTATTATGTCGGTAAGATCAAAAAATATTACCTATTCATATTTCATCAGTATGTAATTTGTATCTAAATATAATTTCCAAACACAAACTATTTAAAAAAAAACGAGCAGAGCTCGGTCATCCAGGTACTCAATAATAAATTGTCAAAATTTACCTTCTTATTCTAACGATATTGTAGCAGTTTTTTATTGCCTAAAAACACGGACAAAAGACATTTTCTAAAAATAAATCGTAGCTATATCGATTTATTGCCCTCGAAACTCCCTGCACACAAAATTTTATGAAAATCGTTGGAGCCGTTTCCGAGATTCATATATATATATATATATATATATATATATATATATATATATATATATATATATATATATATACGAGAATTGCTCGTTTAAAGGTATAGGATTTCAAAGACAAGTGAAGTTCAGCAGCGCTGCGCGACGAAAACTTCCTTGTCCTAAAACCATCTCAGAAATAGGAGAAGGCCTGTGCCCACAAGTGGGACGAATGTAGGCTGTAACTTAAATTTTAACTTTAAATAAACATAATGTAAATAAATAAATTTTTACAAATGTATACCACATCTAACTTCAGGCCTCTTCTCATTTCTGAGAGGGTAGGGAAACCTTCACATAAGAGTAAGACTAAGAAGAAGATGATGTTGTGACCAGGATTAAGAAAGGAATCTGTTTGGTCATGTGGAAACAATGAATGAGGAAAGACTGACAAAGAAAATTTATGTTGCAGAAGTGAATGGCATTCGGAAAAGGACGTCCTAGGCGAAAATTTATCGACCAAATTAGCGATTTATTGAAAACGGGCCAAATTAAGAGTACCCTTAACCGAAGAGCATGTATGCGTAGGTAGGTATATGGATGTGAAGGAGGCGAGAGAGGTGTGTCAGGATCGTGCCAAATGGAAGTCTGTAGTCTTAACCTACGCCTCTGGGTGACAGGCGTGAGTGTTTATGTTTATGTAAGAGTAAGAGCAAGTGGTAAATCTGAACTTAAATTGCAATTATATATTCACTGGCGCTGCGAAGTGATGTTGCATCTCTGCTCTGAATAATTGTTCGGATTAATCCCAGCCGCCAAATTTCATGAACGCACTATTCGGCAAAACTCCCGATACTATCCACATCATCTTAATGCTTGGCGGTCCACCACTGTACGTTTCACAAGGAGTTTTCTTTCGCGTACGACATCTCTGTGGAATAGTTTACCACCGGCAATTTTTCCGGACCGACACGACCTAGGGACTTTAAAGAAAAGACCTTACTCCTTTCTAAAAGGCCGGCAACGCACCTGCAATTCCCCTGGTGTTGCAGTTGTTCATGGGCGGCGGTAGTCACTTAACATCAGGTGAACCGTATGCTAGTTTGCCCCACTCCTTTAAAAAAATTACGATTCCGTTGGTACCGGCGGAAATCAATGCTTTGAATGTTATTATTTTATTTAATCATAGCCATAACCTCATGCATTGTCGTCTTAGATCTTCCTATGAGGAAATTGATCTTTATTTGTATGAATTTTCGTAGCAGTTGCGTTTCTAAACCAAAAATAAATAATGCTTCGAGTAATGCATCGCTTGTAAGAAAATAACGACATTCTACTTTGTTTCTCTCTCCTAAATCGCGTCCTTATTTTAAAGAATCGTGACTTCGACGTAGAAAATTATCCACAATATGCCGTTGAAATGGAACCGTTGTAATCTATGTACACCGAAGTCTCCAAGTGTTCTGTTATTTTACCTTGCACCTTTGCATATGTTAACGATCACTCTAAGGAATTTAGGAAGGAGTTTTGGAAATAATTACAGTTATAGCGACATACGACGTTTTTCTAAAAAATAATTTCATCACTCATCACTCTCTTTATATATATATATATATATATATATATATATATATATATATATATATATATATATATTGTACTATCGGGCGAGCACAGTGTGACACACTACGCACCCCCGTGATGCTGCCCGCCGAGCCTCGGACTTTTCCAGTTCGGACCGCCTCAGCTACGTCATCTATTCATACTGCCCCCCGTTAGTAAAAAGGACGCATCCAAAAAAAATAATTTATATATATATATATATATATATATATATATATATATATATAGAGAGTGATGAGTATGAGAATGAATAAAGTCAAAGTTAACAACCTTTACTAACATTACAATTGTAATCCGATTATGCGCTACTCGTATGTTCAAAATATTTAGTCTCAAGCCACTAAATTCGACTCAAACAGATATACACGTTAATAGAACCGTGTTAAAACTATAATATACGTACAGTGTCGAATGACGAAGTCGAGTGTCGAAGCTAGGGCTCCAAACTAGGGCAAGCAGCAGTTTAATAAAAATACATCAATCTTGACCTGTCTCCACTCTTTAGTTTCATATTCAGTGCTGTCAAGGACGTGTTTAACAAAGCACACAGAAAGCATACTACCGCTAGATGGATTGTATGACATATGCAATTGCACACCTTCGATGGTTTTGTAAAAAGAGCCGTTTGGGTTTGCTTAAGATATTTACAAACAATACAATACATGAACAAAAGAAAAGCATGAACAAAGTACAAACAAATTATGTACAAAGTTAAAAAAGGGAAGCCTGGCAGATGTGATACCTGAAAATTATTTTGTTTAAAATAACTAAAGGAAATAACTAAAGCGAGTATTATTTAAAAACCTCAATACATTCTTCTGTATTCTTTTGATTTATTACATTAAAATTTGGGCTTAACGTTAAAAAAAGATAGTAACACTTATTTCCTATAAAATTAAACCCAGGTGTCCCATATTTTATGCTGCCGTTCATAATGATATTTTTAATTCATATGGTAATATAAATATTGAGTTATCAAACCTTTAAATACGCCTAACTTAATTAAACTTTTATACTAAAGAGTCCTGTACCTATATTTAAAGTATGAAGAAATATTTATTGAATATTAAATTTCATTTTTAAAGATTTTACCTTTTCCTCGCCGATTAGCACTTCAACACACTTAAATTTATCACAATGAACACTATTATCCTCCCATTTTTACTGAAAATCTCTGAAAAAGTATAAATTTTTAACAAACGCAACAAAACAAACATAAACATTGAAATGTGAAGTGAACTTGCATACGAATGGCCCGCACCCGATTCGCTAGTCGCTAACGCACTCCTAAACAACTTCAGGGCAAAGCCAGGCTTGTGGCTCAATAGTAATTGCTATATAAACATTTCGTAGTTATATTTCATTAGAGAACATTTTGCCACAGGTTAGAAAGGGAGCGATCGCCTTCTCGAAAGCCCGGTAAAAAGCCCACGCGTGCGAGGGAGACAAAGAATCGCTCAATTCACTCTCCTTATATGTATGACAGCAGTATTCCTAAGGATACGAGGTCGAACAGAGCGCGTGGGAAATTTGAAATAGTTTAAAACAGTTTACGAGTTATTTTATTACTTGATATTATTGATTGGCTTCGCCACTGTGTACGTAGAGCATGAGCTGCATCTCTTACCTGGTCGTCTCCATCTACATCGTAAAAGCTGAAGATATTAGGCTGCCACTTTATAATATATTCTCGCCTTAACTTTAACACATTACACAATTTGTGTAATCATCGTCAGCCTGTAAAAGTTCTCTGATGGACGCGGGCTTCTCTTGTAGGAATTTACCTTTAATCGTCAGGCAAAGCGAGTTGACAATATCTGCACCAGACATCTCGCACAGACGTTGTCAGAAATACTCTGCGTATTTTGCGCCTGGCGTGACTATGTTGTACAGTCATCTTACTGACTTATCTCATTTACCACGGGATGTAATGGGAAAACTTAGAATTATTATAATACAAAATTCAAATGCTACACTTAACATGTTTTCATTGTTTGACAGGAAGATCTCAGCGCATGAGTTCGAGCGCGGTGGGTTACTGAAGCCGCTGGTAACAACTGTTGACGGAACACCCACTTTCCTCGGTGATCAGCCCCCTCACGCAACTCCATCGAGGCCGCAGCGGCGTTCGCGACATGAGCTAAGGCAGCTCGATGAGAAGGAACTCATATTTGAACTAGTGAGTAACATATTTCATCAATTAACAAACATATTATCTAAATTATTCGTATCACGATTAGAAAAAACATCTGTTGCAAACCATATATTTTTTCACCTATAAATCTATATAATCTATATCTATAAAAATAAAAAAATACCTCTGAAATTCATTCTGTAAATAACTTAAAACAATTAATGTGAAATGGAAATTTTACTTTAGTTTATTAAGTTTTTAAAATTAACCGTCTTCAGTTAAAATTAATACTCGTTTTGTGCTTAACGATATTTAGTTGTTCATTTTATTTTCGTGTTTGTGAGAAAAGCGAATTTTGAAAGATATTTAATTAAAATTCCAATCGTTCTCGAAAGCAGGCACACTGTAGCAAAATTAAGCTTCGGACAAGTTTTCATTTTATAGGGATAATGTTTTAGTAAAAATAAATCCGGAAAAACATAGCTAATATGTAATCTATAGCAACACTAGATTACAATTTTTTTAATATAGCTATAAAAAGATGATGACCATATATTTATAACATCATACCTAGATTCGATCGTTGTCGTACAAACGCTTTCTAATAATAATATAATGTTTATTCGAACAAACAAAACAAAAATCTATTTATTACTTAGTCGCAACATCACAATAATTTTTTGGCTTACCCATAGCTTAACTAATAGAGAAAGCGTCCTGTACGCTCTGACAGCGCGCGACATGTTATATTCCCGTTCGCTCGGGACCTTAATGGCGGGAAAATTTGTAAGTTAGAAATTTTTTGCTATATTGCAAATTTTGCTATATTTTCACTTTGAGACAATATTTATGGATAAAACTTACAGGATTTCTTGTTGAATGTATAAACTATCTAATAAAATTATTTTTGGTTGCTAGAAATTGTAATAAAATACATAAATTACCCTGTATAGCATAGTAGTAGTATATACTTCAATTTTAGTGACAAAATTACTACTAATTTGAATTCTACACTTTTTTTTGGAGAAATTTATATGAAAATGTTTGGTAATATGTATATTTTTATGTTTTATGTGTTTCTATTCGTTACTCATACCAAAATATTAAAATATTAAAAAATTAAAAAAAAATAATAATATTTTATCTGTATGATATTTCGAACAATATTTCAAAAATAGTTTTGTGTGAATTTGAAATAAATACAACGTCAAGTTATTTGAAATATGTAAGAGAACTATTTTTACTTACATTTTACACTAAAAATAAATGAAAATTTGAAAAATAACACATTTATGACCCAACCGCCAAAATGGGCCTTCCGGATTTTGAAGTACTTTTGGCAATTTACTTTTCACTTTTTATACCACAAATTATATATCTACGTGTTCACTATATTACAAGGAATATAAGAAGTATAATACTTTCGTTTTTAGTCCAGACACAAATATAAAATTCTATAAAAAAAGACGGAGCGGAGCACCTTCATCAAAACGACACGTGGAACGCCGAAAGTTCAGAGTGATTTCTTTTTTTTTCTAAGAAACATTGCCAGGTTATGGTTTAAAATAAAAGAGCATATCTTTGTCTTTTATACTATTATCTATTGCATAGTGTCTTTGGTTTTGTTTAAAACGAAAAAATTGTTTTTTCATATGTACACAATTTTACATAATTCTGATCTAATTAGTGCTCTTCTGGAGCGAACGTAAGGTAGGTATTGTACGATCTAAAGTGCGCACCGCTTTGCGAACGGGTGGGTCCGTTTGGCAGAAAAAAGCGCTAGCAAGCGCTTGTAAGCAAAATGGCGATCGTAAGCGGTAAGCGCTGTCAAATCGTAAGTAGCTATTTTCCTCTAGGACACGAAGTTAGTTTTAACCGGGGAACCTAACCCAATTTAAATATATGTTTGTAAAGTATTCATATTAAAAACTTAGCAATCATGAATTTTTAATAACATGTATATGTTTATTCATGTCATTATTTTACTTAAAACTAATATTGCACAAAAGAACTTATAAACTCTACTTCAAAACAAACAAATTAAATAAGCAAAATGGCGGATTGTGTCAGCGCTACTGAAGTAGCAATCGTGTCGTGGCCGAAAACTATTTCAGCGCTTGTAAGCGCTTGCTAGCGCTTTTTTCTGCCAAACGCACCCACTTATAGGCTGTAAAAACTTATTATATAATACAAAATTTGGGATTCATATGTATATTGATTATATTGACCTCGAAAAGCAATAGTTGGTGCTTAGCTTCTGCAGCGGCTGGGATTGAAAAACTACTGGCGCGTAAACGTATGCCTATTGTATATGCGCTATGTAGGTATATATCATATCATTCGGTTGCTATCATAAGAGGCGGTAGACATAAATGAAACAGGAGAGAGGCAGCATTCTTCCTGATATCAAATTAAAATATTAATGACCTGTGGTCGCCAGCCCGCATGCCAAGCATGCCAGTTGCCAACTATGACTGATATGCCTCCTTTGGGTCAAACTATTGGGCAGCCTTTGTTCAGCAGTGACTTTTGATAGGCTGCAATGAATTAATGAAATGTTACCATGAAAATAATGCAAACATTACGTTGCGAACGTAAACCTGTGTACATGAGTACAGACTTAAATCTTTATTAAATGGTGTAACGCCGATAAAATGGCGCTACCAACTTAATAATAACTGCATTATGTAAATAAACACAGTCACCGACGTATATGTATGGGTATTCAGTAGTATCAACCTGTTATTTTTTACATAATATTACATTCACGTTGCTGTTTATTCTGTGGCTATGGTTCTACTTTTAAAAAGATATAAAAATATTTCAAATACTTAACCTCTGTCAAAACGTCTCTACCCTTAAAAATCTATCCTATTTACATGTCTGGGGAAAAAGCGTTTTAATAATTATAGGCTCATTTCATTATTTGCATCTTTGTCGAAAGTGTTGGAAAGTCTTTTAAAAAAACGTCTTGTAAATTGCTTGGAAGGGCATAATCTTTTATCAAATAAGCAGTATGGTTTTCGTTCGGGACGATCGATCAGCGGAGCAATACATAAACTTACTGACTTTGTTGTCAATGCCTTAGATAGCAAAATTAAATGCCTAGTTATACTTTTAGACCTAGTTAAGGTTTTCGATGTGTAAAGGTCTATAAATCAGCTCAGCGTGGTTTTAAAATTGTTACGAATTAGGTACTACAAAATAGTCTCGTGCTCAATGTTGATAAAACAACACTCATGACATTTAGTAATTGGTCTCCAAAACTACCTCCTAATCTTAGAATAATATCCCATAGTCATTCTGATAACATGTCTCCAAAAACAAACTGTGAAATGATTTACTTTGCACATTGTCAATCAATACTTAGCTACTGTATTTCTATTCGGTGTGGAGCCGCAGAGACTTGTATGATTTTAATAGAGCGTGCTAAAAGGGTAGTGCTTAAAATAAGCACTTTTAAAAAATTTCAACGCCCAACTTCCGACTTAAACAAATCATGTAAAGTTTTGACAGGGATTAAACTTTTTATACTACATTTTTTATACACACATTTTTACACATAAAGAGATAAAGTAAAGAAAAGATGTATTTGAAACACAACTAATAATATGTGAAAAAAAGTGCTCAATAATGTAGTTTCTAGTGATGTCACCAAAAAATACAAAATGAAAACTAAAACCCTTAGCCGGTTCTCGCTCGGGAAAAGTATTTGAACAGCCTGTAAATAATTGTTTTGGGTTTTTCTGTGGCAATATAAAAAGCTTTTACGACACAGGAGACTCTAAAATAAATGTAAAAACGATCAAAACTCATACGCGAGCAGCGCTATTGTTTTTTTTAATGGCCATCTTGCTTTTAGTTTACTGATTATTCTCGGGTTTACGAGCTGGTATGAGTTAAACATGTGATTAATAAAAGTTGTCAAAGTAGTAAACTATAAGTTTTTTACGTCCTTGCTTTAATTTTCAAGTTTTTTTTTTAATAAAAAGAGTAGTTGCAGAAATGCAATAACATACAACGGTTTTAGAGAGGGTCGTTGAATGTAATTTACGATAATAACTAACTTATGACTCAGCTCATAAAATTATTAAAAATTAACATTTTGTTGTATTTTTGAATTTCTTGTATTTAACATTTATCAAGAATAACAATAATAATTTATATATATTAGATTAAACGGTTATGATAATTTAATAACCACGGCGAGTAATCGGCTTCAATATCAGGGAAATAATTGATACTGGGAAAAAAGAGGAAAAAGTAGTAAAAAGAGGAAAGACGTCTATGTAAGAGAGTTCCAATTTTTTAATTATTTTTTTTAATTAGTCCGCGCTAATTTTTTACAGAAAGCTTAAATTATGAATAACAAGAAAATTCACGGCAAAATATGCAGCACAATGTACACTGTCTTATCGTATTTATTTGTGGGTTACAGCACGCATGGTTCGGCTCGACTGGGAAAATAAAACTGAAATTTAATGCTACTGTTTCGTATAGTGAGTGAAGAGAACTGGAGACTCTTTTTAGCGGTAACGAGTCATTATATCTTAGTCCTTAATCTCCTTAAGAGTAACAACCTCTGTGTGAGTTCCTGCGTTGCCTCCGATATTTGGCGAATGTAAAATACCTAGACTACGGTATAGCTTTAATTCAAAATACCTAATATAGCTATAAGAAATTAAGCGGGCTACATACGAGACGTTATCGGTGGCGATCTAGAGTGGAAAGAAATCGGGGCTTTTATCGAGGCAGACCCTACACACGGGCCTGCCTAGCAGTACGCGTTTGGACTTTGAGCGGAACGCATATGCGGTATAGTCCTTCAAAATGCCTCCGACTCTCTTAAAACACCAACGGGTTGGTTTGGAATTAACCATCTTGGTTAATTTATTCGAAAATAGAAAAAGAGGAGTTGCTGGGTGAAAAATGGCTCCAAAAGAGACAAAAATTAAGCCACATAAACGTACTAAATGGTCTGTAATCCAAAGACATGGTTAATTTTCTCCGGATGGATGAAGACAGTTTTTACAACCTTCTAGAAT